AGGGGGAGTGGGAGAGGGAGAAGCAGGCCTCCTGCGGACCCCGATATGGGACTCGATCCCAGGGCCCTGGGACCATGACCTGAGCCAAGGCAGTTGCTCAACAACTGAGCCACCCAGGCGCCCCCCACCTAGTCCTTTTTAGGTGGAAACTGAAACTCATCAATTGATGAAACTCGTCACCGCCCCCCTGCAAGGTGGCATCTAAGTTGCTGGAGACACACACGGCATCTCAGTGCTCCAGGAGGCGGCAGTCCTCCCTCAACGTCTCTTCTGTCTGCTCGTCACAAGATTGATGTTCATCATCCCATCTGGTCCTCAGCCTTAGTCACCATCACATGCTGGCATCCACTGGGAGGCTGGCATTGCCTCTGGTCTCTGGACATACAGTCCTCACTGCATCTGCTGGCAGTGGACCTCTGGACCCCCCAACACACGAGGGCCTCTGGGGGCTCTCCCTCAGCGCCTTCCACACCCTTCCAGGGCCACAGAGGAGGCTTAGCTGCTTTCCTGAGACTCTTTGTGGCCACAAGGGGCCTCGCTGGGCCTTTCTGCCTCCTCTCCTCACACAGCCATCTCCATTCTGTTACTCACAGGCCCCTGCTGGTTCTGAGACTGAGCTGAGAAATGCCTCCTCTCGGATTCCCAGACATCCCAGGGGTTGCATGGTTCAACTGCATCCTACCTCTAAACCCCTCGCAGCTAACCTGGGGCTTGGGGCTGCTGCAGGGCCTGTTTTCCCTCTACTGCTCTCTTCTTTGACCCTCCTATGCCCCTCCCCCGCCCTAAGGATCTCTGCCCAGTCCAGGCAATGATACTGATTCTGCCCAATCCCCCCAAATCTCTTTGTCCTACATCTGTATTATGGCTTTTACATTTAAATCCAAAACTTTTCCACTATTGTTCTCTGGCTCTTCCATGAAAATTCCATCCTCTGGGACAATGGGAATCTCACCACGGGATGGCTGCCACAGTGTGAGGCATGGGGTGCACACAGATGTGACTGTTTTCTTCCAGAACATCTCTTTTTAAGAACAAGGAGAAATTTTCCCTACAGCCCCATGGCAGAACCTCTCTCTTATATCTTATTGGCTAAAGTGACATCATATGATTATAGCCAAACCACTCCCTGGCATGGGTAATCCAACCCCGGATGGGCCAGAATACTTTCAGCTCCAAGGAAGAGAACACCAAAGAAATGGTGGCTTCAATCTGAAGGACATCATTTCCTTAACAAGAGACTTTGAAGTTCTCTGTGTTGGTTTGGTGACAGGCATGTTCGTTGGCCTGTGGCCTCATGATCACAGATGGCTGCAACAGCTCTGCCCTCGTGGTCTCATTCAAAGCAGGACAGAGAGGGGCAAGAGGGCCCAGCTAATGCTCCTCTCATGGCTCTCCTTTCATCAGAAGGAAAAGCTTTTCCAGAAGCACCCCCACTATACCCACCACCCCAGCATACCTCTCTTCTATTGCACTGGCAGGAACTGAATCACATGACACCCCCAGCTGCAAGGGAGGCTGGGAGAATATCTGACCTTGCTCAGCCTCTGGAGTGGGAGATGGGAAAGTGAGAGGGGGTGAGAATGGCTGCTGGGTTAGCTAACCAGCCAGTTCTCCCGAATCTGCCGAGATCCCCCTCTTATTCACCCCGCAGGGTGGAGCTAGGACCCGCCTGCCCAGGCAGAGAGTGGACCCCCAACGAAAGCAGAAGGAATAAGCAGGGTGAATCGCAGTCGGCAGTCTCTGCCTCCTCCCAGCCCAGAAGGCCTGCTGCCAGGTCAAGTGCCTTGAGCAGCGCCTGGGACATCCTAGGCGCTCGATAAACCGGAGCTATTCTTGGTTGACTCCCCCCCTACCTTTCCCCTCCCCACAGCAGCCTACAGAGCATCTATAGATTGAGTTCTCAAGTTACAGGAGAATAATGCTGGAGTAAGGGACACTCAGACACTCGACTTTCCTACAGAGAATCTACAGACCAGGGCTCGGGTTACTGCAGAAGAAGGAAGGAGAGACTGAGTAACCAGGTTCCCTACCCGGTGGCCCAGGACCCAGCCTCCAAATCCCCACCAGGTGGACAGATGTTGACACAGCATTCCTGGCCTGTCCTTCCTCTGCCCTTCACCTGGCAGCCCAGGCCCGCAGAGACCAAGAAGGAGGGATGGCTGATGGAGGACTTGGAGCCCAGCCAGCTGGAGAGAGGGAGGAACTGGCCTTGGTGTCCCCAGGGGCATAGGGAGGAGGGGCGTGGCAAGGGAAGTCCAACTGCCTCTCTGCCCTGAAATGCTTTTGCCCGTGGCCGCTTCACATTGAAGTTAGTGCAAGTTGCTGAGTTTTTGGTGCCTGGAAACTCTAGACTGGGTTTGGGGCCATTTTATCATCGGATCCCATTTCATGGCTGGCGTGAGCTGCCCCTCTCCTGGCCCCCTTGTTTTCTCGGATAATTCTCCCCCTGGAGGACTCGGAGTGCCCCAGCACTGCCTCTTCAAGAAGCCCCTCATCTGGGCTCCAGAGGGCCCAGGCCCTAGGCCTCATCAGAGTCTACCTCCCAAATTGTTATCATCCGCTTCTGCACTGGCCCCCACCTCTAGCGATGAGCTCCCTGAGGCCAGAGATGAAGCTGGTTCCCCATTCTCACCTGGGGCTGCGTCTGGCTCAGAGAGTCTGGGGGTTATAAGTGCAGCATTTGGAGTTAGATTTGGGTTTGAGTCCACTCACTTACCATGTGACCTTGGCCAAGTTTCTTAGCCCTTCCACTCGTCAATTTCCTCTGTAAAATCAGAGGGTGATGCCAATAAAAACATTAACAACGAGACATGACATTCCTCCCAAATGGCACAATGTGACATGCATAGCAGCACCCGGGAAATCTTCCTGCCAAAAGATTGAACAGGAGCCTGGACAGGGTCCTGGATCTACCCACCAGTTTGGAGGAAATGAAGAGGTTGGAGGAACATGGTGAACATCCTGTGGAGGGAATGAGAACTCAAGAAGCCAAATCCAAATGCACCAATTCTATGGGACAAATAACCTGATTTCTTCCCCAAAAGATGGGCCCCCCAAAAGTGCCTGGGTTGGGACAGGTGGGCGACCACTGTCAGAGGAAAAGAAATGAGATATTTCAATCAAAAGCCACAGCAGACCTTGTTTGGATCCTCATGCAAACAAACTAAATGTGGAAAGACTTTTGTGAGACAACCAAAAAAAAAAAACAACACAAATTCGATATGGGAATTATTACTTTTGTTAAGAGTGATCGTGGTATTGTGAGTTTGGTAAAGTAAAAAATTCCTTACGTAGGAAATTAAAATGCTGGAGTCATTCTAGGTAGAAATCACAGGCTACCTGGCATTTGCTTTAGAGTTATCTGTTAAACAAAACAAAACAAAACCAAAAAAAAAAAAAAACTAACTTGGGAGAATAGAGAAGAAACTAGGAAAATGTAAATAATTATTGAAGTTGGGCGGTGGGCAGTGGGAGTCCATTATACTGGTATTTTTACTTATGTGTGTGTGAGAAACATTTAGAACATGAAGTTTTGAAAGTATCTTTAAAACACATATTTTACGGGGTGCCTGGGTGGCTCAGTCGTTAAGCGTCTGCCTTCGGCTCAGGTCATGGTCCCAGTGTCCTGGGATCGAGCCCCACATCGGGCTCCCTGACCAGCGGGAAGTCTGCTTCTCCCTCTCCCGCTCCCCCTGCTTGTGTTCCCTCTGTCACTGTGTCTCTCTCTGTCAAATAAATAATATTTAAAAAAATAATAAAAACATTTTACATTTCCTGAACATTTGGTATGTGCCAGGCGCCCTTCTAAATGCTTTGTGCTTATTAACATACAGTAGCGCGTGTTTGCACGAATGACCACCTGTATGACCTGGGGGAGGGGGTGCTCAACCTTTCTATGCCAGACTTGCCTTTATCTGCACAATGGGGGAGAAGAAGTGAGGTAACACTTGCAAGATGCTCAGAACGTGCTCACAGATACTGTTATCAGCCCCGTGAAGTAGGTCCTATCTCATCTCCATGTTTTACAGACAAGCACCCAGTGACGCACAGAGAAATCACACCTGAGATCTCATAGGGTGGGTGGAGGGATTCAATGGGCCCAGATATATAAAGTGCTCGGCACAAGGCCTGTTGTTGCCCGTCAGGTGTTCAGGAAATGTCGCTGCGCATGCTAACATTGCCGTTGGCTGAAGTGGCTGTTCCTTCTTCCAGAACGGGAAGCTACTGGCTGAGCGGAATGGAGTCAAAAGGAGGAGTGAGGAGCTGGCCACGGAGAAGGAGGCTTTGAAGGTGCCACCCCTCCCTGGTGTCATTTCTACCAGTTTCAACCGCTCCAGTCGAGTGAGAGCTGGGAACTTCATCAAGCCAGCAGGCTCCCAGGGCTCCCGGAAGCTCGGCTAAAATCCCTCTCTGGGTGGCTGATGTCCAGAGACATCGTGGGAGGTTGAGGAGCGGGACTCGGGAGAGTTGGGTGGGCTAGGGAGAGCAGCACTGGCTGAGGCCTCTCCTGGGAGGCCGGACAGATGGACGGGCTCCTTCCTTGGCAGCGGCAGCTCTATGAGTGTGAAAGCCTCATTTGCCAACGAGATGCTGTCCTCTCGGAGGTGAGTGGCCTGGGGGTGGTGAGGTGACATTTGCCTTCCATGTGCTCCTGGCCATCCCCTGCCCCTGCCCCAAGGTCTGGAAAGGGGAGTCCTGCCTGGGTCTCATCCCTGGATAAGCAGCCCAGAGAGGTCAGAGGGTTCCCCCGGTGTGGCAAGCCTGTCCCTGCAGGATCTAGAAACCTGATGCTCTCCCTCAGGCCCTAGCTCTTCCCCCAGGCTCACCCTGCCAGTCTCCCCTACCCCTGCCTCTGCATCTTTGCGGGGCTGGGCCCCATCTCAGTGGGCTTTGGGCTTCCCCAGCGCACTCGCCACGTGGAGAGTCTGGCCAAGACGTTGGAGGAGTACAGAACGACGACCCAGGTAGCCAGCTGCCCTCCCACCCTCGGCCCCCTGCCTGGCCCCGATCTTCTGCCATCTCTGCAGTTCATGCCTCTTTCTGCCCCCGTCCGTCTTGTGGAGTCTGTGTCTCTCTCCTGCCTTTTCACTTGTCCTCTGTTCCTCTCTCTCTCTCTCCCTCTGTGTATCTCCACCTCCGGTCTAGTTTCTTTCTCTGTGGGGGTTTTGTCACTGCATCTCCCCTGCTCATCTTTCTATGTGTCTGCCTTTCTTTGATCTAGTCTGTCTGTCTCCAGGGGCGACTCTACCCTCTGTTGGCCCCTGATCGTTACGAGTATCCTACACCTCGTGTGTCTTTTGCCTCTCTGTGAATCTGTGTCCATCCATGTCTCTTGTTCTTAATTTTCCTGGCTGGTGGGTTATCTTCTGGGTTCCTGCTGTTCTCTGTCTCTCTTTGGCTTCCTAAGTTTCTGTCACTGCTTTCTTCCCCCTTGTCCCTTGGCAATATGTGTCTGGAGGAGCCCAAAGAAGTCAGGGGAGTGGGATTGACTGTAAGAGGAGCCCAAGGCTGGCAGATGGAGAAGAACAGAGAGGCAGGGGTTCCTCACTCCCTCCTTTGCAGGAACTGAGGCTGGAAATCTCACACCTGGAGGAGCAGCTGAGTCAGATCCATGAGGGGCCGGATGAGTGAGTGGAACGTCAGGGGTGAAGGAGGCAGGAGGGGAGCCCAAAGGCAGGGACCCCCAACCTCCAGCCACAAAGTGGGCAGAGCAGCCACCCCAGAGTGGGTTGACTGACAGGTAGGGGGCAGGCACAGAGAGAGCCTTCCCCTCTTGACCATGTGGCCAGGCTACCGGAAGGGGCCCAGGCGAGAAGAGTGGGCTGGACCAGGCTGCTGCCCCCATCACTGGGCGTGGAGATCGAGGCCATTCGGCAGGTGGGCCCGGCTCCTCGAGAACACCCCAACCCACTGCCTACCACAGCTCTGACCCAGCCCTGATTCTCACCCTATCCCATCTCCCCGCCAGGACCATCTCAGTCCTTCACCTCATCCCTACCCCAGTCCTTGGTTCTGCTGCCAAACCCTTCCCATGTCCTGCCTCTACCTGCTCCCCAGCCCAGCCTCACCCCAGCACCCCCCACCGCCGTCTTCTCTCACCCCATGCCTCAGCCCATGTCCATCCCCATCTCTGACTCATCTTGTGCCTTCACCTGGCCCTCCCTGGCCTCAGAAACGGCTTCTCCTCTGCCAGAAACAAGAAGTGGCAGCCGCCACTCTCGCCAGCCCTCTGTGTGGCGTGTGGCAGTGGGAGGAGGTCATCCTTGAGACGGATGAGGAAGTGGAATTTCTGCCTGAAGCCCCAACCGGGGCACAGGTGAGTGTGGGAGGGGCTCCAAGACCACTGGAGTCCAGGATCTGGGAAAGGGGCCTGGAACTCCATGTGCCACGAGCTTGCTGCCCATTCCACGGGCAAACGTTGACCGAGGGCCTGCTGGACACAGAGCCCAAGCCAAGCAGGACACCATCCCTGTCCTCTGGGGACTGGCCCGCAAGGGGAGTAGACAAGAGCAAGCAAAGCAAACGCAAACTGCACAGTGGTAGTTCTGTCGTTGCGAAAACACTGTCAGGAAGCACTGCATTTACAATGGTCCTGCTGGGGGAAGCTAAGAAATGAATCGTTCCTCCGAACACCATAAAGATACATTAAGCTTTTACTTTTGGGATACAAGGCACCCTTAAGAGCAGCTTAGCAAGCCCACTGTGAAATCTTGAACTCATCCATAGCAGTTGTTTTATGACTTCTGTAGTTACCTGAGCAATATTTCAACATCCGTCGAAACGATCGAGACAACTCATCTTCAATGTCAACAGAAAAGTGAGATTTTAATCTATTAGTGCCAGAAGTCTCTCTGTTTCTCTTTTTTTTAAAGAAAATATTGCTAACAGCTCTGTAACTGCATTGTCTTGAAAATAATACTGCTTCAGAATTATACTCTTCACCATTCTTAAAGGAGAAACTCATTTCTTTGCTCATTTTCTCCCTGGGTTGAGAGAAATTTCTGTGTTTCCCTTCAAAACCCATGCTGTTTGATTTTTTTTTTAAGATTTTATTTATTTATTCATAAGAGACAGAGAGAGAGAGAGAGGCAGAGGGAGAAGCAGGCTCCCCGCTAAGCAAGGAGCCCGATATGGGACTCGATTCCAGGACCCTGGGATCATGACCTGAGCCGAAGGCAGACGCCCAACCATCTGAGCCACCCAGGCACCCTGTTTGAATTTTTTTTTAAGATTTATTTATTTAAGAGAGAGAGAGTGAGCACAAGCTGGGGGACGAGCAGAGGGAGAGGGAGAAAGACATTCTCAAGCAGACTCCACGCTGAGCACGGAGCCAACAGGGGGCTTGATCTCATGACCCTGAGATCATGCCCTGAGCCGAAACCCAGAGTCAGATGCTTAACCACTTAACTGACTGAGCCACACAGGCGCCCCTGATTTTTCATTTACTTCCCCCCATATCTCTGCGAGGTAGGCAACCTCACCCCTCATCCTGTTACCTGTGGGAAACCGAGGCTCAGAGAGGTCATCCGTCCCCAGTCACACAGCCTGTGGGCGACAGAGTCACATCCCTCCGAGGAGGTGTGAGTCAGAGTGAATTCCACTGGGAGCTCTCCATGCCCCATCCAGGGGAGTGCCGACCCAGGCCTCAGGGTGCCACCGGCTCCAGGTCCTGGAGCTATGGCTCGGAGCTGCTCAGGGCCTGGTGGGGAGATGGTGCGTTCGGGCCATCCCCATGCAGTGTGATGGGTATGCAGAGGTGGGGGGTGGGCCCTGAGGGAGCCTAGCAAAGGGAGAACCTGTGTCAGGTGGGAGACTAGAGAGGTGTCATAGGGAAACTGACACTTGAGTTTATTTCAGAGAAGAGAGAGAAATTGAGTGGTGTCAGGAGAGAGAAACCTTCCTGGCAGCGGAAAGCACACACGCGGGGATGTGGGGCATGAAAGCATAGAACACGCTTGGGCAGCAGAGGGAGTGGCAGGTGGTTAGGGAGCCATGAGGCCCAATCACAACAGGAATTCCCTGTAAATCAAGTGGGGAGATCGTACTTTTCTCCATCAAGCCACAGGATGGCTGGGGGCAGGGAGGGAGCCCAAGAGGAGGGCAGGTTTTAGAAGCAGGTGGTGAATTCTTGCAGGTGTCACAGCCTGGGAGACCTAACCTTTCCTTTTCCCACAGAGAAACTTGCAGGGAGAACCAGCGCACCCTCAGGGAGGAAGGAAGGAGCGATCGATGTGGTAAGAAGCTTGTTCCTTCCAGAGCCATCCCCCTGCCTTGGGGGGACACCACATTCTTAGACAGTGTGCAAGGACTGGAAAAGCCCTGGAGGGAGTTGCACATCATTCACTCCTTCATTCATTCATTCCCTCCCACTGAAGTGACCCTTGGCCTGTGAACCAGGATGAGCCATCCCCAGCCCTGCCTTCAGTGTCTCCTGGTCTAGAGGGAGACAGACTCTGACCCAGCTGGTTCTGGGAGGGCATCTGGCACTTGGAGCCACCTGGGGGGGAAGGCTTCCTGGGGACATGATGCTTGAATGGGGTCCCGTAGGAGCAGTACTCATATAGGAAACTCTTAGACAAGAAGACAGTTGTCTGGCTGATGGGACAGCTCAGTCACTGGGTCACTGTCACTGAACACACCTCTCCCAAGGCCTCCAGGGAACCCTGGGATGAAGGAAACCCAGACCGGCCCTTGGAGAACATCCAGGTAGTTAGGAGACAATCGGGGACTCAGGAATCAGACAGCCTGGGTTCAAATCCCAGGATGGGGGTGGTGTGAGCATCAGTGCCGTGGAGCCCCAGCCCTGTGATTGTTAGGAAGCTCGGCTGCAGGCCTCTGAGGAGAGATAAAGCCCTAGATGTCTGGGCGCAGCCTCCTCAGGCCTGGTCTTGGGGCCTGTGGTTTCCTGTGGTGCCTCCCGCCCCTCCCCTCCCCTCTTTCAGGCTCTTGGCTGAGACAACTAATGAGGCTGCCTGCCACTGGCCTCTAATTGGACTTGTCTGAGAAAACTGAGATTGGGCAGGAGGGGGGCTCCAGAGCTATGACCTCCCCCTGCATCACCGGGGAAGGGAAGGGAGAAGGGGCTGAGCAGCAGCGGGGGCGGGGGCTGGACATCTGAGTTTCCCGGGAGCAGGGCAGTGAGATCCGCAGATTGGGAAGCTGGAAATGAGGTGGTGAATCCTGTGGCCCCTAAAGGTGACTAGGGGTGAGGGTTTGGATCTTGAGAGGTGCTGGGGGAGGAGCCACCTGGGGTCCAAGTATCAGTTCCAGGGGATGAGACCGCTGTGTGTCTGACTGGGCAGAGGCTGGGGGCTTACCAGCCTAGCTTACTAGCACTTTTTGGGTGCTAGTTGAAGACACAGCTGTGTCCTGAGGGTGTCAAGGTGGCGACAGCTGGAGGGCCGGACCCCTAGTCCCCCGTGAAGGTGGTAGCCAGTGGTATGGACATCTGGGTCTCTAAGGGGCATCTGGGCTGGGCAGCTTGAGGTCTAAGTCCCCAAATAGGTATTTCAGGGGCTCAGGCAGCTGCAACCCTTGGAGGGGCAGAGGTTGGGGGCTTGCACACTGAAGAGAAATGATTTGTGGGGGGAATTGCTCACACAGTTGGCTTCTGGAATCTCAGTCCTAAAAGAAGACCCAGTAAGATTGAGACTCACTGAAAATGGCACAACGCCCCCAGGCACTAAGTGGGGGGTGGGTCTACACCTGCCCTGGAGTCTTGGGGAGCTCTGAGTCTCTGGTGTTTGGGAGAGTAAGAGAGCAGAAGCCTAGCTCCCAGCTAGGGCATCAGCCAGAAAAATAGCAGAAGAGAAAGCCAGTTTGATTAAGAGACCCTCCTACCCTTTTTGGGGGTCACACACTCTTTTGAGAGTTTGTTGAAAATTCCCCTGCAAAATATGCACACTGACCTACACACAGCAGTTTGCTCATGGGGCTCCAGGACACCCCCAGGCCCATCCATGATGCCCGGTCCCCATTAAGACCCCTGCTTTAAAGGCTCATCCAGGGGCGCCTGGGTGGCTCAGTCGTTAAGCATCTGCCTTTGGCTCAGGTCATGGTCCCAGGGTCCTGGGATCGAGCCCCGCATCGGGCTCCCTGCTTGGCAGAGAGCCTGCTTCTCCCTCTCCCACTCCCCCTGCTTCTGTCCCCTCTCTCGCTGTGTCTCTCTCTGTCAAATAAATAAATAAAATCTTTAAAAAAATAAAATTAAATAAAGGCTCATCCAGCTCCACGGTGGGCGAACAGGAGCCAGGCCAAGGGAAGATGCTTAGGGTGATTCTGTTGTCCCCTCAGGTTGCCCAGAAGAGACGAAGAGGAGGAAGCAGAGCCCCAGATCACGGTAGGCAGTCCCCAGCACCCCTTCCCGGTCCCCACCCACTCCGGGCCCTTGAGGAGGGTGACACAGTGGTGGCTCCTCCCAGCCCTCACCCACACCCCCACTTCTCCTGAGCAGACAGAAAAATCATTTGGCCAAGAGATAACAAGGCCCTTGCTATGGCTAATGAGAGCGGACAGAGCCGTGGGGGGAGGCCTGCAGGCCAGTGGGCGGCCAGAATGTTCCCGGGGGACCCCCCAAGCACATACACAGGGCTGCAGCCGCTAAGCCACAGGCCTCACAGACGTGGCTACACCCCCGGAATGCGAAAATGCACACGCACATGCGCCCACACACAGGAAGGGGCCGGGCCCTCCCCAGCCAGCCCCAGAACTCTCTGGGGCACAGCGCCTGTGACGGCTCCCCCGCCTGGCACCACACACACCAGCTGCTTTGCTCCTCAAAGCCACAGGGCGAGGTGCAGGTGCCAATCCCCATTCTCAAGGCAGGCGAGTGGAGGGAAGCTCGGGGAGGAGAGGTGGGGAGCCCGTGGTCCTCAGGGTAGGAATGTGAGAGCCCGAACGTGTGCCAGGCATCTGGGCCCCTTCGGGGTCCAAACCCTCCAAGATGGTCTCTCTGAGCAGCCTGACCCCAAAGCCCACCTCCCACTCTCTTCCACAGAGACTGGGCCCCACGTCAGTTTCCTCACAGCTGAGTTGACTCCCATCTCTCCCAGTTGTGTGTGTGTGTGTGCATGCACGCGGGGGGTGTTGTTTAAGGACCACGGGAAAGCCCCCCCCACACACACAGAGCAGGCGCACAGTAGGTGGCTGTGGTGAAGGGGAGGGGCTGAGTCTGGTGGCCCCTGTTGTTCTTTATTATTGCTCTTACTGCCATCATCAGCATCCACGGGTGGGAAAGCCCGAGGCCAACAGAGGGGGCGCCCTTTCAGAGGGACATGGGGGTGAGGTGGCCCCTGGAGGAATACTTGGGGCTTTCATCTTAAAGCACCTGCAGGTTCTGACGCAGGCAGGAAGAGCGCCCACGCTGGACTAGGTCCAGCACAGGGTTGGACTCCTGGAGAAGATGGGGTCTCTGCCCTCAGGGAGCTTAGATGCTTGCAGAATCAGGTGCAAATGGAAATAGTAATTTTGAACAGCTCCCATAATTACTGAGTGCCCACTGTGCGCCAGGCACTGCTCCAAGCGCCCTCCCGCTTTTTTGCTTTTGACCTGCGTTCCCTCATGCAGACTCCCCTTTGGCCCTGTGAGCTGGGGACTGTCGCCGACCCTGTCCAGCAGATGGGGAAAGTGGGGCATGGAGATGCAGGGTGAGCTTCCAAGGGACATGCAGCTGGAAGCCGGCAGGGCTGGGAACCCAACCCGGCAGGGTGTCTCACTGTGTTCCACCCACTTCCATGTGGTCACTTCTGTGCAGTGGCCTGAACCAAGGGCCTTTCACAATCCGGGACCGAGGGTCTCAAGTTTGTCTCCTTTGTCCTTCTAGGCCAATCTCCCCAGCCCTCTGGGGGACCCTCACCCTGAAGACGTTCCAGGAAGTCCTCCTGAGAGGTAACAGGACCCACGGGGACTGGAAGGGGCCTGGAGGCAGAGGCAAAGTCCAGCGTGATTGCCCCGCCCTCCTTTCCGTCCCGCAGCCCTGCCGAGCCCGAGCCGAGGCAAGCCCTGGTGCCTGTGCGGAAAGAGCTGGTCCCAGTCAGGAGGCCTGTCTCGGGCCAGCTCTGCCTGCCCCCGCTGCAGCCCCAGCTGTTCAGGTGCGCCCCGAAGCGGCTCCAGAAGGAGGGTGGCCGTCAGGCGTTGGGGCATTGCCCCCTGCTGAGACAGCACCAGCCACCCCCCACCCCGGGGCCCTCCCGAAGCACCGGACTGCCTCCCAACAGGGTCGCTCGGCCCCCGCTGGCCCCGGCACCCCTCCTGGGCCTGCTGCTGCTCCTGCTGTTCTCCCTCCTGCTCCTGGGCCGGTCCCCGCCCCCCACCTGGCCCCACCTCCAGCTCTGCTACCTCCAGCTGCCGCCTGTGTGAGCCGCTCAGAGCAAGGTCTAGTCAGAGAATTCCCCGGGAATCCTACTGTTATTACCACTGTTGTGCCACCTCGAGCTGGGAGGACCCCAGTACGGGGCCCCCAGATACAGTGCTCCAGGATCCACACCCCTGTACTGGGTTTTTCTGTGAAGTCTTTCGGTTCTTTTTTTAACACTGGTGACTACATTTCTCAGCAATAGCAAAACATTCCCAATAATGGATTAAATACTAAGGGTTTATTTTCCTCCTAAAACAAGTTTGGAGGAGGACAGCTGTGGGCCCACAGCTCAGAGTCTCCACAGCCTGGGGGTAGAGGGAGCTATGATTCTCTATGAGATCCTCTCGGCCCTTCCCTCTGGCTAAGGAGATGACAGGCGTAGCTTCATACGTCACATCTGTAGGAAGAAGGGGACGCATCCCTTCCTTTCTTTATAAAGAAAAGCCGTGGCCTTCCCACAGCCAGCAGCAGACCTGTGTTTATGTCTCATTGGCCAGAAGTGTTTGTTGCACCACTCCTAGCTGCAAGAGAGGCCGGGAGACTGAGCGCCTCTCCCCTCTCCTGGCAGAAAGAGGGAGAGAGACACGTGGGCCGGGCACACATCACAGATGTCCCCTGCAGTGCAAACAGCCCAAAGGAAATGGACCACTGTGCCATTTGCTCACTCATCGCTTACTGCTCATCCTCGTGTCACAATTAGACTTTAGAAGATAAAGCTATGGGGCGCCTGGGTGGCTCAGTCTGTTAAGTGTCTGCCTTTGACTCAGGTCATGATCTCGAGGTCTCCCCACTCAGCATGGAGTCTGCTTGTCCCTCTGCCCCTCTCCCACTCACGCTTGTGTGCTCTCTCACTCTCAAATAAATAAAATCTTTCAAAAATTCATTAAATTATTTTTTAAAGAAAGGAAGATAAAGCTGTAGAAAAACAGGCCCTCCAATGCCAGGCTGAAGAGCACTGCTTTTCTCCTGAGGATGATGGGAGCTTTCAGACATCTTACTGCTTGTTTTTTTGGTTATTTATGTTTTAATTGAGATACAACTTACATACAGATAAATGGACAAATCTTAAGTATCAGGTGCATGAGTTTTTGCATATGCAAACACCCACAAAACCAAAACCCAGGTCAAGATATGAACAGTTTCAGCACCACAGAGGCTTCATTGGGAGAGTTTTGAGCAGGGGAGGGTCAGAGTCACCCCTACTTAGAGGCAAATAATGATAGAGGTAGGTAGCTGTAGGTTCCATGGGAGCCCAGAAAATGCACTTAACCCCTCTTGGAAGGATAGAGATTTTGTCCCAGTTAGGTGACATCTGTGTGCAGTCTTGAAAGATGAGTAAAGTTTGTTACAGTGGGCAGGGACCAAAGGAGGGTGTCATGGGCAAAGGGAATAGTGTGTGTGAAGACCAGGTGGTGGGAAAGAGCCTCTGTGTGCAGAGGTAGAAAGCACCATGTTGCTGGGATTAAAAAGAAAAAAAAGGGGGTGTGGGGGCCAAGGAAGTATTTGAGGCGACAGAGTTGTGAGAAAAGCGGTAGGCAAGAGCCCATGAAGGGTTTGGAACACCAGCTTGAACTTGATTCTCAGGTGCCCAAGAAAAGGGCTATGAGCAGGGAAAGGACAGAATTAGCTCCAGGTGGGGAAGAGAGCTTCTGAGCCTGCATGGGGGATGAATACGAAGTGAGGCTGGAGGCAGGATGTGGGGAGAAGGCTGGGGCCGTGGTCCAGGTGGGAGAAGATGAGGCCTGAGCTGAGGTGGGCATGTGGATGGAAAGAAGGGGAAGGGCAGAGAGAGGCAGGGCAGGAAGGACAGAGCCAGAGATTGATGGCTGTGAAGGAGGTTGAAGAAGAAAGGGGCGAGGACAGCACATGGGTGTGACCCAGTGACTGGTAGACAGTGGAGCATTTCCAAAATGGGAACCCATGAGAAGGAGTGGGCTTGGGGCAACACCGAGCTCATGTGGGATGGGGGGAGTGTCAGCGTTCCAGTAAGTGGCCAGAGCCCTGAGCCTTGAGCCCACAGTCTGGAGATGGGGTTCTGCGTGTTATTACCTGTGATTGACATTTTGGGAATTGCTGAAATTTCCTGGGGAGAGCCGAGGAGAGTGGGGAGGGAAGGGCTTCCAGGCACCATTTTATGAAAAGCCTCAAACGCTAGGGAAGACATCTAGGGAGGAAGTATGGGAGGAGTTCCGGCCAAGACCCAGCTACCAGGCTCTCCAGCCAAAAGCCAGTGAGGCTCCTCACGGGGTTGTTGTGAGGGTCAAAGAGCCAATAGGAGTGCAATATTTAGAGGAGGGCCTAGCATATAGTAACTGCTTATAACTCTTTAATCCCATTTCTCCATGAGAGTAATGGCAAGGTCTAGATTGGAAGTCACACAGATCTGCGTTCCAGTTACCCCATTGTCCTTTACTGGCGCTGACACCTTGGGGAAATTACTCTTGACTTTCAGAGTCTTATTTATGAAATCTGGCCGACTCCAGATGGTGTTGAGGAATATAGTTATTCCTTCCTTATTCAGTATTTCTGAGTAACAGAGAAGCAGGTCCACCCCCTACAGCCTAAGGGCCAATTAGGGCGCGGTCCGCCTCCCAGAAATACAACTGATGCGAGAGTTTGCCAGTCACCCAGCGCCAGCCCCGCCCCCTTCCCGCGAGCCCACGCGCGCAACCCCGCCCTCTTCTCTAGACCAATCAGCGCGCGATCCGCACGAGCCGCGCCCGGGGCGCGCTCCTTAGAACCCTCTGCTTACCCCTCGGAGTGGGTTGCCATGGTCACCATTGAGCGTTGGGACTGAAGGGCTGGCGGGAGCCGCCAGTGAGAGAGAGAGACAGAGATAGAAACAGAAACCGATTCTGATTGGCTGCTTCTTCGCTTCACCTGCGCCCCAGCCCTGTGCCTCCGGGGGCCTGACGCCTGGTCCCCTCTGTCCTCTCCTCCCGCCCCAACGGTCTCCCGGGAAGGGCGCAGTCAGAAAACCCTGAACAAACTTCTGGAGGCTGCTACTAGAGAGGCAGAAACCCTTTTCTAACAAAAGCGTTTTGCTTCGCGGGCGCTGTGATGAAGTTGTCTCATGGTGTATCTCGGTTAATCCTCAGATGAGGAAAAAAAGGCTCAGAGATTAAGCAGCCCTTCCCAATACCACACAGCTAGGTTTGGGGGAACATGGTCTTGAATGGTAGGCACATCTCACCCCAGAGGCAACCCCCCCCAATCTGTCCACTGCGCCCAGAGAGAAGTCAGGAAGTGAGAAGAGAGCGGAAACGGCGAAATTCGGAGAACATGAGAGCTGGAAGAGGGAGAGGGAAACAAGAGAAGAAAGAAAAGATATGAGGGAATCAAGCAGAGAAAAAAGAAAGCGATTAGGAATGGAAGGAAGAGTTTTAGAGGCAGAAAGAAGAGTAGGGAGAGGAGCCAGGAGGGTGAAAAGAGACAGAAGTACAGAGACTCAGAGAGATGGCGAACAGACACCCAGAGAGGGACAGAGACCTAGAGAAGGGGACAGAGACTCAGGGAAACAGAGACCTGATAGGTTGCAGGAAACCAGAGAAGGGGACAGAAACCCAGAGAGGAGACAGAGACCCGCAGGTGGGGTGGGAGCAGAGACGCAGGTGGAGAGGCACAGAGGCCCAGAGCGAGAGGAGGGGACAGAGCTGGGGCCTGGAGGGAGGGCAGAGCAGAAACGCAGACAGAGAATAGGAGTGGAGGGAGGGAAAGATGATTTGGGGGGGGAAGATGATTTGGGGGGGGGGAGGGGGGAGAGAAAAGAGAGAGGGGACTGAGGGGACGAGATACGCCGGAGTAGCGACGCAAGTCCCGCCCGCGTATCCCGCACACACACCCTGGGCGCAGGAAGGAGGCGCAGACCCGAGCGCTCTGCAGGATCTTTATTTAAGCGGCGCGGGCGCGGCGCTCAGGGCGCGTCCAGCACCAGCAGCTTGTGCATGTACGAGTTCAGCCAGTGGCGGCGCTCGAGGGCGGCCAGCAGCCGCGCGCGCTCCCGGAAGGCCGCGTCGTCCGCCAGCGCCAGGCTCCGCCGCGACAGGCGGGTGGCCGGTCCCGCCCAGGCCCGGCCCGGGGAGCGGAGGCTGCGAGGAGACCAAGGGAGGCGGTTACCGCAGGTCCCGGACCCCCGCCCGCCGCCACCTGTACCGCCCGCCGGCTAATTCGAAGCCCCGTCCTTGCACAGTCTGTGGAGTGGCTCGGTGTCTGTCCTCTGTCCCCCTGTCTCCCTCTGTACGGGTCTCTGTCTGTTCACCGGGCTCGAAGCTCCCTGAGTACGGAGACCGAGTCCGATGCCTGCCCCCCCCACCCCCTCCCCAGGGCTCAGCGCCCGGCCTGATACACACTAAAAACCCAGTAAACTTTGCTCAAGGAACGAATCCGCTCTGCTTCGGCTCCTTTCAAACCTCTCAACGCCTTTCTCAGAATCTTCTTGTATCTCTTCCTCGTGCTGATTTCCCTGTCCACACTCCAACTCGCTCCACCGCTGGTCTCCGTCCTCCTCTCTCCCGAATGTCTGTGCCCCTTTCTCCTTGGGTCTATTCCCTCCTCTCCGAATCCCCGGCCCTCCCTGGGTGTCCTGGGCGCCGCTCCTACCTGAGGACCCCGGCGGGGGGCAGGGCGACTCCCGAGGCAGTGCGGTCGCCCCAGGGCACAAGGAGCAGCGGCGGCAGCAGCAGCAGCAGCAGCCGCACCCGGGGGCTCCTGGGCACCTGGCGGGTCTCCATCACCTGTGGAGAGACAGGGAAGAAAGAGCTCAGTGAGGCCCACGTCCTGGCCCAGAACCCCGGACCCCGCCACCCACCCACCTCCTGGGCGCGTTTGCAGGGCCCGCTACGGCGCAGTGGGCTCGGACAGCCGGGCTGCAGCCCCCTTATATCGCCTCCACAGCCCCCGCAGCGGGCAGTGACGCAGACCAGGGGGCTGGGGGCACCGGGTCAGCCCCCCCTCCCCTCAGGCTCATTAGGAGCCGCCAGCGGTAATGAGGAGCCAGGAGTGGGGGCCCTGCCTTTGCCTTGGCAGCCACCAACTAATTGGGACCAGGAGCTGGGACCTGAGGGGAAGCAGGAGGGGGAGAGACAGACAGACAGAGAAGTGGACACAGGAGGTGTGTCAGAGGGATAAAAATAGAGGCCGGCAGAGGGACCATCAGAGCAGAAGCGAGTGACACAGAGAAAGAGACAGGGAAAGCAACAGAGGAGGGACTGGTGGGGAGAAGCAGAGATGCGTAGATGAAGGAACCATGAGAGGGAAGGAAAAGACAGAGTGACAGAGGAAAGGGCCGACGGGGAGAAAGGAAGCAACAGAGGAAGAAGGAAAGGAGAGGAAGGAAGAGAGAGGGGGGAAGAAGACAAAGAGCCAGCTGGAGATGGAGGGAGGAGGCTCTGAGAAAGACATGAGATAGAAGAACAGCCAGCCAGCACAGGGATGGCCAGAGATAAATCCAGGCAGCAGAGAACCAAAAAAGACAGAGCGAGAGATGGGCGGGGGGAGGCGGGTAGGCAGCAGAAGGCAAAGGGTATGGGGGAGGGGGTTGAAGGCAGGTAAAGTGACAGGCAAAACTCTGCAAAGAGGGGAAAGACAGACCAGGGCCCCCGCCCCACCCTGCGCATGGGTCTAAGCCTTCCCGGGGAGGAGTTGGGGGGTTTTGTGAAGCCCTGTCCCCTCACACTGGCTCTTAAGAGGGTGCTCTCTACACAGTAGGGGGAGGTAGGCCAAGGTTCCAAAGTCCCAAAGGGCAGTAACAATCTGGGTATCTGACTGGCAAGACATGGGACCCT